CGTGATGTGTATTTTTATTTCAAGAAGTACAATGGACATGTCTGAGACTACACTTTTTATTTTTAAAATGTATGTTTATTTTTGTGTTATCTCTGTCTACTTATACAATCCAGTTTTGTTGTTATTTATTTAATAAAACTTATTTGTGTTTAATTTGCGCACTCTTATACCAATTATACCCTAAATAAACTCCATGCGTGGGCTTTAGCAGAGCTCAAAGCGGAAAAATAAAACTCCCACATTATTTCTGGCTCTGATATAATTTCGCATGCCGACCAATTAAATGTCACAACGTTGTGGTTATAAATCATCGTCCCACATGCCCAGAGCACATCGTATTAGCCTTGCTGAGCTGCCAGGGCTGCCAACTCATCCTCATCTTCGTTTGCATTGCGGAAAATTAATATAAAAATTTCCGTTAAAGACGGCCCTCCAAAGGGAATTACCAACATGTTTGTTTTGGAAGATTTATGTTTAATTTTTGATGTCATTTTGAAGTTTAAAGTATTATTATTTGCCTTTTATCATTAATTAACTCCAGAACGTTTTGTCGAATGTGGCTTAAAATCCTCTAGTGATTAATTAAACATTTTGAAAAATACTTTCAATCAACCTTTCATGTTACAAAGTCAAAGGAAATACATATCAAAGGGCTCTATGTACTTTATTCTGTATATAGTTTAGCAAGGCTGATGTATTGACATAAAATTAATCAAGAATTATACAGTGTGTCTCACCGAAAGCTGTCAATAGGGAATTAAATTCGCAAAACACGATTAAAAAACTATGTAAAAAAACTTGGTATAAAAGCTACTTTATAATAACATTTAAGAATAAGAATCCTAATTGTCTTAATAAATTGTTCTTTTATCCTAAACCTAAAAACATTTCCATAAGACATGTTAATACCTTAAAGATCAATGACGTAAGTAAAAAATCTGGAAAATGTCCTTCCATGATGGTCGGCAATAAATAGTCAGGTTGATGAGTGGAGGAGCAAATCCTTTTCCGGTTCTCTGGGGTAGTAAAAAGGGGATAAAAAATGTTAAAAAAAGTCACGCCAGAAAAGCCATTTTAGTTCGTCAGGACCTTTGGACAGAGATACCGCGGTGCACCGTCCATTTAGAAGGAAAAGTAATTTTCAGAGGGCGTACATTATTAAACAATACCGACGGGACTCGTAAGGGAATTATACAGAAATACGAAAGTCTAGTATGTCGTCCTGATAAAGAAAATGGCCATCTACATTTTTAATGAAAATTGATTTTTTATATCGTTTGATTAGTCCTAAAAAGACAAGTTTAACTGTGCAAATGTTTATAAAGAAAGATTAGGTTTTAAAGTAGGCCAGGCGGGTTTGAGCACAATTCCGCGCGCGCCCATATTATTTCTTAATTAAAACAAAATATATTATTTTTTAAATATTCTTTAAAAATTCTTTAGTTTAATATAAAACACAATCTTACTATATCGACCTGAAAATACGAAATTTTATTTCTTTCGACTCGCGGGGATAGGATGTATTTCCCCCGGTGCTTGATTCACTGTTATAACATCATTTGAAGTATTGCACACAAGTTTGTTCAATAGAATATGCATTCGGGTAGTGGGTATTGCCCTTGAGGGAAATATTTAAAGAAGCATTCACGACGATATCAAAGTAATTTTCGAGCTGTTTTCATCCCAAGGTCAATTTGAATACGAGTGGGCTTTTGTGAAAAGCAAAATTTACTTTGAAAAAAATTTTACATATAACTTAATTCAAAAAGAATTTTAAAGATGATTTAAATAGCATAACATTGTTTTGTGGTAAAAAAGATTTCGTAATGTAATATTTTCTTAAAAACCTGATGTAATGGAGCGATTCACAGTAAGGTGTAGCTGATTTTAACAATGTAAAGTTGGTTAAATTTGTAGACCTTTGTTATTCCATGTAACAATAAACCCCCAAATGGATCCTTTTAAAAATATCCATTATATGTTTTCATGTTATTCTTTATATGCGTTGTAAAAAATTTACGATTCCAGCCACTTTGTGTATTATATAATAAGAAATTTTATTTCATCATATGTGTCCTAAAACATTGTTTCCTTTTAAAGGTATTATTGTTCTCATGTTTATTGACTTTAAAAATGTTGCCCTGAGGGCACTTCTTGGCGAGCAAAATATATAACATAAAAAGCAAAAGCCAAACGAAGCTTAACGCGATATTTGTGGTTTTGTAATGTGTACTTTATTTGTTTAATATTAACAATTCCTCTTGGTACCTATAGCGCACATTTGCATGTTGTTGCAACAACTGTTCATACATAAATATAAATAAATTTCCATATTTTGCTACAATACCCTGAATATATTGATACGCTTCCTCCAATTAAGACATGCAAAAAGAAACAATATTTCACGTGGAAATTTAAAAGTATATTAAATTATTATAATTATATTGTAAACCGATCTAAAAATACATATAATTTTACTGTAGATTTTTTTCCCAGTATATTTTTAAATTAACACGTTATACGTCATCATTCTTAATAAAAGACTTACATGATATATAAGTAAACTTTACAAACAATATTAATTAAAAGTCATCAATATCAAGAACATAATTTTGCCATTAATCAATTTCCCAAAGGATTTAATTATGTTGGTATACTTTATATTAAATTATTAAGTTGTTATCATGTAATGATTCTATACACACGGGATAAATTTTCAATCAAACCGCACTACAAACCTAAGCAATTTCAATAGACAATTTTACTTAGATGGACCAAAAATTACCAACTATATTGTACATTTGACATAATGAAAATATAAATAAATTTAAAAAGGTTCAAAAATCATTTGTTTGATTATGTTGGTTTGACAGGTGTGCAAACAACTTGTTATAACAAAACAATATTTTTTTTAGCAAATTCCATCATATTTACAAATATCATACCTTATTTTATTGCCCATATTACTTAGTAAAGACATACCTACCGTATTTTTTAATTTTTAAAAATGTTAGCAGTTTAATTTAGGGGCAAACTACCTAATCTTTCACTTTTGGAATTCTCGAAAACTGATGTGATCAAGCAATTCAAAAACATGTTTGTCCCGTCAGTAATCATGGAATCGCCCATATAATCTTTTAATAATAAATAAATATAATAATTTTTTGTTCCTATGAAAAAAAAATCCAATGGAAATTTTTATCCAATGGAAATTTTATCCAATGAAAAGTTTATCCAGTGGAAATTTTATCCAATGGGAATTTTATCCAATGGAAATTTTATCCAGTGGAAATTTTATCCAATGGGAATTTTATCCAGTGGAAATTTTATCCAATGGAAATTTTATCCAATGGGAATTTTATCTAATGGAAATTTTATCCAATGGGAATTTTATCCAATGGAAATTTTATCTAATGGAAATTTTATCCAATGGGAATTTTATCCAATGGAAATTTTATCCAATGGAAATTTTATCTAATGGAAATTTTATCCAATGAGATTTTTCTCCAATGGAAATTTTCTCCAATAAGAATTTTCTCCAATGAAAATTTTATTTTTAAAATGTATAGGTATTTGCCAAGTTTTTGAATATTGCTTACCCAGCCTTTTATCGTTAAATATTGCTAAAACAATGTACATTGTACATGTACCAAATTACCACAAATTTATTACAAAACTGCTTTTCAAAAATACAACACAAGCCTATAAATACTAATTTTATCTGTAACAAGATAGTGATAATGTGAGTACTTTAGAAAGTTAAAATGTTTATGTTATTTAATTCACAGCAAAATATTAAAAAAAAAATTTTTTTAATTCCTACCAATAGGATATTTACAACAATTTATAAACAAATATAAATTATTGAAAATTTCAACATTTTACCTTTATAAAATACAAATTTTAAAAAATGGCGAATGCGCCGGGATTAATACTGATATTTTAGTTTTTCTTTCACAACGATTTATTATATTTTTAATATTTTTAAATTAATTTTTTAATATTTGATATTTCCAATAAAATTTTTTTTTTTTTAATAGAATAGGTACCTATATTTTTTGTTATTAGAATATGCATCTGTAAATAGTTATATTAAAATGAGATAAGAATATACTATAGACAATATTTAAATTCGTATGCACTTAAATGATGTCCATTAGATTTGGCGCGAAAGTAAAATTTTTTAGAAATTGTTTGATTTTGTAATTTTTTTTGTAAATTGCACGATATACATGTTTTTAAACAAAACATGTACTAAATCACCACAAATTTATTACAAATCTATATAACTCCTTTTTAAAAATACAACATAAATCTATAAATACCAATTTTATCTGTAACAAGACAGTAATAATGTGTGAGTACTTTAGCAAGTTAAGAAATATTTTTTTATTCTCCAAAAAATAGGATATTTTTAACAATTTATATTATAAACAAATATTAATAAAAATGAATGAAAATTTTACCTTGCAAAAATGGCGAATGCGCCGGGATTAATACTGATATTTTAGTTTGGGTTTCAAAACCATTTATTGTATTTTAATTTTTAAATGATATTTGCATTAAAAAAAGGTAGTTTTTCAAATATATTAATTAGTATATTTTTTGTTATTAGGATATGCATCTGTAAAATATTTATGTTAAAATGATTTATTGTAAGAATATACTATAGACAATATTTAAATTTGTATGCACTTAAATGGTGTCCATTAGATTTGGCGCGAAAGTAATTTTTTTAAATTGTTTGATTTTTCTAATTTTTTTTTGTAAATTTGGCATGATATGCATGTTTTTAAACAAAACATGTACTAAATTACCACAAATATATTACAAATCTATATAACTGCTTTTAAAACATACAAAACCAGCCTATAAATACTAATTTTTTTTGTAGCAAGATAGTAATAAGGTGTGAGTACTTTAGCAAGTTAAAATGTTGCAACACACAAGTGGTGCAAGGAATTTAGGTGTTAAAAACGGGATGACAACAGAAAACCAACCTTGATTTTGGCCATCAAATCGCAAGAGCCTTGAGCGCGCCACCGGACCTCTCGTCACCGTCAAAAACCAATCAGTCAGCACACCGTTGGAAAAATAGTCACTGCACTGCCGTTGCGTTAATAGCGGTCGGCCGTGGCCAGGGCACGCTGCGGCTCACCAGATTAGAGCTAGCGTACGACTGTCATACTCGCTATTGCGACTCCGCCACGGAATCGCGATAGGCGGCGGGGCGCGCGCCTCCTGCGATCGATACGGTGGCACGCATCCCGAGCCACGCTGGATCCCGAAATTCGGCGGGGTGGGGGGGGGGCACGGAGGGGTTTGTTATCGGAGAAGTGTGTGGCGCTCTTTTTGCGTAAGTGCATGGGTTGATGGGTGAGTAACGAGGCAAGTTTCGGAGGAAAAAGATTTTTATTTTTTTCTTACCTACATTCTAAATTTTTTATTTGGGATATTTTTAGTTTTAAATTTTACTGCAGTAATTATAATTATTATAACGTAGACGTTAATGTATTTACAAAAATGGCGAATCCGCCGGTATTAATTATAGATAGAGATTTATTTGTTCAAAAACTCTTACAAAGGTACAATGTAGAACACGTAAAAAAAGATAATACATATAGAATAGAATGGTTCTAATACAAATTAAAAGTGTTTTAAAAATGTTAATGTAAAAAATATTGCAAAATCGTCATTTTTTGTTTTAATGGTAATGTAGTTTGAATAGAACATTACACATTTAAAAATTAATTTCATTAAAAAATGAAAAAATGAGTAATAAGAGACCGTACATTACACATTAAAAAAAATGTGTAGCGAAAGACACTCCTTGTAACTTAAAACAAAAACCCGTAGAGCATAATTTAACAAGAAATTTTATTAATAAAAAGTTCAACATTAAATTTTTTATTTTACATCCTGTACAATAATAATTATAGTTTGTACAATTTTTATTATATTTGTTTAGATATTTTCTATAATTTATTATCTACCCACTGAATGTTTTTTGTACCATAAAATTATTATTTTAAAAAGTTTTTATAAGGGTTATTTAATTCACTGCAAAATACTAAAAAAAATATTTTTTTAAATTCCTACAAATAGGATATTCACAACAATTTATAAACAAATATAAATTATTAAAAATTTGAACATTTTACCTTTTTTAATTTAAAAAAATGGCGAATGCGCCGGGATTAATACTGATATTTTAGTTTTTCTTTCTCAACGATTTGTATTTTTATTTAAAAATTAATTTTTTTAAATGATATTTGCAGTAAAAAAGGTGATTTTTCAAATAAAATAAGTTTATTTTTTGTTATCTGTAAATAGTTATGTTAAAATGACTTATTGTAAGAATATACTATAGACAATATTTAAATTCGTATGCACATAAATCGTTCCCATTAGATTTGGCGCGAAAGTAAATTTTTTTAGAAATTGTTGAACCCGTAGAGCATAATTTAACAAGAAATTTTTTTTAATAAGAAATCCAACATTAATTTTTTATTTTACACCCTGTACAATAATTATTATATTTTGCACAATTTTTATTATATTTTTTAAGATTTTTTCTATAATTTATTATTTGCCCACTGAATGTTTTTTGTACCATAAAATTATTATTTTAAAATGTTTTTATAAGGGTTATTTTATCATTTTTTATCAGGCTTATGTACAGGGTGCTTTCGTATAAATGGGCACCCATCTAAAATCATAATTTAATAAGATATTGCAAAATTAAAAAATCCAGCTTGCATGGTTTAAAAACGTAATTTTTTTGACAAAAAATATAAAATATATATATTAGGTTTTATTAAAACATCCCTTTGTATATTTGAAATAAGTTATTGCATCTTTTGACACCTTACTATTTAGAAATACAATTGTAAATACATAAAACATTTATAAAAAAATCTACTTATTGAGATATTACACTTCACGGTGGATAGGTTTTTAAATAGAAAATTAATAAAATTAAACTTTTAAATTATAAAACAGCAACACTTTCATCTGCTTATAAATTCTAACTGACCTTCAGGAATTACATGCATCTATAATGTCGTTTTTGCTTATTTAAAATGATTAAAGCGCCATCCTTTGCATAAAATTTAAAGCAAAAACAGATTCACGGAGGATAGAATCAATTTTTGTAACACCTACATAAATGGTTATAAAAATTATTTCTTTTAATTTTTAATAATATTTTATATTTGATTCGATTGCTTTGGATGTGTTTAATTTACTTAAGGAACTGATATTTTTAGTATGCTTTTACTACCTCAGATATTTGAAAACATATAGGTTAACCTAGAAAGAGTAACAGTCACGGAGGATAGGTTTTAGACTTTTAAAACATTGTAAAAAATAATTAATTGCGGTTAAAAATCTGGAACCTGAGCTGTAATATCTACTTAATTATGAAAGATCAAAACACAATAAAAGTGTAGGATAATTTTTAATATTTAGATTGAGTTTTTATTCTAATTTCAAAAATATATAATTTGGATATGTTTCAATTAAACATTTTATTAATAATTGGAAAGATTTTATGTGGGTGTTTCATTTATAAAAAACACCCTGTACATGTATTATTATACAGGGTGTCCGGTAAAAGGAGGTCAATCCGTTAACCATATATTCCTTGAGTTAAAACAATAACACTTTCATAATACCATTTTTCAATTTAAAGCTTCATGTTCGATATACAGGGCGACAAAGTTTGAAATTTAAAACTGATTTTTTTTAATAATTCGAATAATTGATAAGATATTAAGTTTAAATTTGGTACGCTACTTTAACATAAATAGTTACATTTTTGGAGATGAACAAAACAAAAAACAATTGTTAAATAATCAAAATAGGGGGGTCCAGTACTCACTGACCCCCCCTATTTTTTAGTACGAGCGCCAATGACTTCCAAACGGTATTTTTTCAGGTAATCATTTATTGTTCATAAAATTTTGTCTCTTATAAAATTTTGATAAAATGATTTATTTTAGAGATAATTTGTAAAGTATGGGTCAGTCCATATCAAATCAACCAAAGGTTCTTCTTCCCCCACCATCTCCGATTTTGATAATTTTTGGTAAATTTGTTTACCTCACTAAAAAACTCAAAAATCCCATGTATGAATTTTTTTCGATAGGTGGCTTTTGTTTTATTGATTTTTGAAAATCAAAAAATTCCGATAAATTTGGGTCTTGCAAGTATACTTACAAAAATAGCGATATCTCGTAAACTATTAAAAGTAGAAAGATGAGTGGTGGCTTATTTTAAAGGCCTATTAGAGACCTTTTTTATGATAAATCACATGACCTAAATTTTTTCAAAAAAAATATTAAATTTCGAAAATTTGATATGGACTTACCCATACTTTACAAATTATCTCTAAAACAAATCATTTTATCAAAATTTTATAAGAGACAAAAAATGTTCAACAATAAATGATTACCTTAAAAAATACCATTTGGAAGTCATTGGCGCACGTACTAAAAAATAGGGGGAGTCAGTGAGTACTGGACCCCCCTATTTTGATTATTTGACAATTGTTTGTTGTTTTGTTGGTCTCCAAAAATGTAACTATTTATGTTAAAGTAGTGTACCGAATTTAAACTTAATATCTTATCAATTACTCGAATTATTAAAAAAATCAGTTTTAAATTTAAAACTTTGTCACCCTGTATATCGAACATGAGGCTCTAAATTAAAAAATGGTATTATGAAAGTCTTATTGTTTTAACTCAAGGAATATATGGTTAACGGATTGACCTCCTTTTCCCGGACACCCTGTATACAAATTTACAAAATATTCAAATATTTTACATATTCGATTCGATATTCAAACTGCTTTTTAATAATGTTTAACAGTAAAAATTAAAAAACAACACCTTTATTATTACGTACTTTTTAGTTGTATACCATTTTTCGGCTTAACTGGAAAACGTACGCTGCTCGCTTTCCGAATAATAGTTTTATGGTTTTACCGCATATACCTGCATGGAAAAACGGAGTGAGCCTGGAGCACCCAATCGCTGAACAATCGACTGTGTTTTGTTTTACTCCGGCAACGCTGTCTTCTATTAAAAATTTCGCTCTCTGGGCGAGATAAAAAATTCCTGTACTTTGAACGTTTAATCGTTTCGAAACGTTCATGAAATTGTCTAGACTGTGTAATGCCTGAATTTTACGAAATCCTACCTTGATAATGTTTCTTCTAAAATGCAAATGAGTTTTGCATTGGCCATTCGAAATAATCTTGCTTTAATTTTGTTAAAAGAATAAAAACTGTATTTTTGTTTAATATTAATTTAAAGGTCAACAAAATTAAACCAAAATGATACACAAAATCCCTCTTTCTCTGTATACGTCAGGTTTTTTAGAAATTTTAACACAAAAGTCCAAAAACGCATTTTGTTACCTATTAAAATCTATTTTTAGTAACTAAAACGTCTATTTGTTTGTATTAATTATAAAATTAATTATTAAAGTAAAGGTTAAATTTAATATTTAAATCAATAACCATTAAATTGGTATATTATTAAGTTAATCGAAAAGTTGTGTTAATGTGTAACAACCAAATATCAATAGTAAAAGTATTTAATATTGATAGGGTAATTTTTAAAGTTTAATTAAATTTTGATTAAACCATTACATTAAAAAAAATGATTTAGAAACAATATAGTTACATACTTAAACTTGTTTAATCGCCTTCATCTAAATGCATTTTTGTTTTCTTCGATAAAAATCTTGTTTCGCCATTAAGTATGATTCATTCGTGTCTGGTTAAATGGCACAAAACCTTGTTAATTTTTTATGTATCTAATTTGAAATGGTAATATTATATATCATGATTTTCAAGTTTGATTTATAAGTCTACTGGAAGTTATACTTACAATCAACCAACAAATTAAATCATGGCGCTTCTTTCAAATTTATGTCTAATATATTACAATAGTATATTATTATCAAGTTTGATAAACGCTATTTTATATATTTTAATGAGTGTATAGAAAAGTTTATAAACGAGGTGCATACTATACTTTTTCTACGACAAATACCTATTATTATCTTAAAATGATTTAAATCAAAAATTTGTATATTGCGCCATCTATGAAAAAATAGGAGAATCTGTGTGTCACCGTCAAATGTCAATTTTTTTTATTTTATAAA